GTCATTCATTATTAATACTATTAGTAATATCTTTGTTAAAGACTTTGATGGCGACAGCTCAAACATGAGAGGTTGAGCTTTATTAGCTCCACCTTGCGGAAATTCCGGATACGATTATTTTACTTGCGGTACTGTAGGATAATTTACGGTAACTCGCGGTAGACTTCGCAAAGCGCACCGCAAAATAATGCGGTATCACCCGCTTGTTTTGATTGGCTGCATCTGTATGTGGTTGTAAAAAAAAAATATTCACAAATAAATTCACAAGCATAGAACTGTATAACTATGTATGTTTTGGCACAATGTTGGGTATTTTATACTCATGGAAGTAATTAATGCAAAGCAGATGCAAGGCTGAACATTTTCAACAGATAAAGCGAAACCTCTTCTAATTTCACAATTAAAAAGGTTAATCAGTTAGTGTTCCGTAATCGAGGCATGAAAAATCATTTGATTTTTGCAGTGTTTTATCAACATATGAATGGAATATTAAGTGGCTTAATGTATAAATAGTCATTTACAAAACTAAAGGCAACATTGTTTTTAGTTGAATGATTAAATCTTTACTACCTGACTCTTGCAGTTGTTAACACCACCCTGTTATAGTAATGTTCTGTTACTTTTTAACAATCGTTCTAGTTTTATCTGACTGCTCTGTCATCTGTTTGGACAAAATGGTATATGCCTCTTGGCTAGGTTATCATTGCAAATGGGACTTTGTTTTTAAATGAATCATCTGGTTAAATACAGAAGTATTAAATTGCTTTCTAAATCACTCCGAATTATCGTGTTCGACCACAAATGAAGCTGAATTTTCAGACTTCATTAAGCCTGATGAAATACAGCCTGAAACCAAAACTCACACTGTTACCTGAATAAGCGTAGAGGTAGGTAGTTGAAATAAATACTCTTTGTATATTAACTCCGCATTGATCCTTGATCTTGGATTCAGGCTGCTGTCGACAACACCAAATTCGATTGCCTCATTATATACAGTGGCTTGCACAGGCATTCTTTATGACCACACACACACATAAAAGTGAACAAATAACAAAATAACAAAATAAAATGTCCACCTTTCAGAATACCTCCCGAAGGCACTAAATAAAGGTCTCCACTTGCACTGAAGAGGCAAACTGAGCCCTATAACTTAAAATCAGTATCTAAAATCATTAGAGGGCTGTGAGGGTACAAGTGTAGGGTGAAGCGATTTCAGTTCATCGGTTTTCTATGAATTGGTGGGCAACATTGCTCTTGCTGCCTGTCCTCCTCCAAAACTCAACTCTGCTTGTCTGCTGTTTGTGCTTGAAGTGGGAAAAGAAACCCAAGGCTACGTAGAATGCATGTGACCTTTACGTCTTCTTAGCTGGTTCAAGGGATGCAGTAGTGATACAAGTTTATTAAGTTGGCTATTCCAAAAATAAATAATTATAAATTCACAATTAAAAAAGGCAAATCAAAGAACATTCACAGTAAATAAATTTACATTTGAAAGAAGACAAATGTTTACTATTGTTTTTCACACCTTACTAGAACAAACTGATTTGAATAGATATATCTGTGATTCCAGTGGAATTGAAAATGGTCAATTACTGTACCTCCGTCTGTGAATTAAACTGAAGCATGGCTGTGTATTGTTCTTAAATGTGTAGGAGCTTTTTAAATTCTCTTTTTCACTTACACTCAATGAGTCTCTAACATATTTCAATTTCCTTGTGGAATTAAAAAAAAAGGACAAGCAAATGTGCTATGGTGAAACAATAGAGAGAGGGCAGGCTCTGATCTCAGACAAAGCACTGAACATTTGCTTTGGGTTAATGCAGGTCAGCTGAATCAAATTCTTACCTTCTCTTTCTTCTGCCTGGCAGAGTCCTCTGCAGACAGCAGGGTTTTGTAGTAGGAGCTCCTCTCAGCAGTGAAGTGGACCTTGGACAGAGCATGCTCCACTAGGGCCACTGAGAGATTCACCCCATCGATGTGAAGCCAGCCAATGAAATTCCCAGCCTTGTCCATGCTTTCAACCTCCACTTCCACCTAGGGAAAGGGAAAAGGAAATACCATCAGCATGTTCGCCACAGATGTGCTTGGCAACAAGTACTACTTCACACAGGAGTGAGTACCTCCAAAAGCGTTAAAAAAAAAAGATCAAATCACGTAAACTGGTTAAAGCAATAGGTTTATTTTTAGTTTATCACGGCAATTTAAATCATAAACGCAATGTCTTCCAATCTTATACTGTAGTGCAGGAAACTGAACTGACTCTCAAAGATATTCACTGCTTGCTGGAAAACAAATGAAAAATGACACTTATCTGACATTATAGGCATTATATCGATTTTAAAAATTATCCACAGCACAAATCTGAGAACAGCTGCTGGCTGAAATGCTCTCCTTTTAAATGCTTCTCTTTTAATGGAATTTTATTCATCTTTGTCATTCAACTTATAAAGACACTTAGCGATCATTGTCCGGAGGTTGAAATGTGTCATGAAGCTGAGCTGTTTAAACAGGAATTCTTATTTTTTAAATAAAAGGGTTATTTAAAAAATTAAATATTACATGAAGGCGTGTGCACTGGACTTAGGGTGGTGTATGGTAGGGTTAATGCATCTACTGGATGCATTAAATGTATTATCTCTTTATTTTAACACCTTAAGAATACTTTACAACTTTACTGATAATACCTAGCATAATCTGAGCAAACCTCTGAAAACTAGACAATGTTGCAATTTCATAGCTTTAAGAAAGTTTAGAAGTGACTCCTTTTATTAAGCCTATATTATACCTCACAATAAATACCATGACTAGCTGTAAAGTAAATATTCAGAAAGACCAAAAAACATCAATTGGAAATCAGAAACTGAAAACTGACTAATGGATGCAGACTTAAAATATGGATATTCATGACTTGGAGAATGATTTATTATTTTAATTTACTATGAGACAGCATGTAAAAATGCAAAATATTAAAATGCTAAAATGTTTTCAATGTGAAAAGCATTTTGCATTAATATAATTTCAATTATTGCACAACTTTCATACAGACGAAACAGGTTTTTTTTTTTTAGTCATGCAGGAACAGCAAGAACTCTTCTTCTTCAAAAACTTGAGGCAAAAACCCATCAGAGGAGTTAATTCTGTGTATCAGTGACATGTGCCAGTCCCTGTGGCTGGTCCCTTGCACTCAAAAATCAATAAGCACCTATTTGAAATAAATCACTCTAAAAGGCTCATCTCAAGAGCAGTTGACCGATACAAAATTATATTAGCCACATCACCACAAAGTGCGCTTCCTAGGGAGTCAAAGAAATATAAAAGGCAGATCAAGGAAATAACACCATATGGAAACTGCATGTGCAGGTTTTTTTGCAGTACAAATATACAGTTACACAGCAAAAAAAAATAAAATACATTTTTATAGTAAACATTTTCCATATCTACAGTAAGTTTATTAGTATTATAAGTTATAAAGCCTAGCTTCCTCTAGGATGTCCTTCTTTAACTTCATTACTGGGAAATCTGAAGCTTTAGCTGCTGAAGTTTCCCTAAAGCACTTTAACTGCAACATCAAGATTTTGAAGTCAGATGCATCAATTCTTAACTCTGAAAACCAGGTTAGGATTTGAAATGATGAATCCCAGCTGTATAACCAAAGCATCAATGAATCAAGCCTTTAAGACACTGATGCCTGTGTCAACAGGACTGATATACAATTAACATTGTTAAATGATATAATAAAGCACTGCCATAAAATCTGCTGTGGACATTCAATATTAAGAAATTAAAATGCCAAGAAAACTAAAGAATAACATTATAAACCTAAACATTTTAAATCCAGTTATCTAAAAATCAAAGGCAAGTGTGGATTAGTGGTTAGGACTAAAGTGGAGGACTGGGGACAATAGCTTTGGAGTGTTGTACAAGGTACTTCACTTGCTTTCTTCTGAATTACTATACCCAGTTATACAGTGTACTGTTAATGGGCACAGAGGTAAGTTTGGATAAAAGTGGTGGTCAAATAAATTAATACGAAAGAAAATAAAACAGCCAAAACACTCATGGATAAATTACACTACTATATACAGTATTATTACATGACCATTAAGCATCAAGGACGCATGAGGCAAGGAATTAAGATGTTAAAAGTACAATCTATGATAACCTGAAGTTGCACTCATCTGGAATGAATTACATAAACTATCCTTAAATGACTCCACCTGTTCTGTTTTAACATCCCTTGGAAAAAAAATGCATTGAAGCACAGAAAGCAAAACAAGGAAAAATCAATAAAAATAAACAAACAGTAGTTTTGCTCTTGTGTCATGCTCACTGATGTTGATGAAGGTGGTATAGACAAAACCTTGACCTGTCACTAAAGAGGACATTAGGGACTGCTCACATTTCATTGTGTTGGGATGGTGGTGGTGGGGTTGTCTGCCCAGCAAACTATGACCATTTACCTGTTTCAATACAGTTGTTGTAACCTGACATGTGCAATTATATGCTATTGGTAAGGCTAAATGATCAAAGATGGAGCATGGTGATTTTGATCTTGGTGAGGCTTTTTGATGTGTGGTTTCTCAGATTGGGACCTATTACTGATGAACTCTTTGGCTGCAGTACCGTGCCAGGTTATACATTTTTGTCCCTGAGCACACCAGATGGGATAGACATTATGGACTTAATCGAGCCTCTGACATACTGATGTCACAAAGGTGCTGTTCTCTTCATATGCAGAGCAAATTGGCAACTACTTGTGTTTTTCTATTTCAGTTTTCACCAGGCATGACGGTCAACATGTTAGATGCTCCCATTAGCTAATGATGTGATTTAGCACTTATGCAAAAGTCAAAGTCACACAGGTATACCACGTTGACTCATGAATGATCAGTTAATCAAAGATAATGATGACACCAAATATGTTTGGTCAGCATCCAGTTTCTTTATACATTAGTTTTCAAAAAACAAATGCTCAGGGAGATAAGCATCATTTTATTCTCTGTACAGTACATGTACGACAACAGCATACATCATATGCCAAAGTCTTGCTGTACCCTTAATAATCCACATTGGAATACCTTGCTATATCCCTTTTCCGCCTGGGAAGGAAAAAGTAATCACACTTCTCCCCCAGTGACCTTTCTTTTGCTACAAACAAGATTGCTTGGTCTTACACAAGCAAAACCCAGTGCAATCTGCAAGGGAAATAACTCGAGTTTTAATGAATTTAATTAAACCTGCTGACATCACAGCAGTTATAAAAAAAAATTAAAAAAGGGCTCACTGTAGGGATTTGCAAGACTGAAACTGCTTACACGAACCAATTATTTACTCATTACAAAATTTTGTATCCTAAATGAAAATATTTGATATAGATTTTTTGTTGTTGTGAGGAGATAGGTGCTGAAATACAAATCAAATCCTAGACATCATGGCTGCCATGTGGCTAATATCTTCCGGAAACCCCTAACGATTTACTGATTCTGTTATCTGTCCACTTTAAGGTAAGCAATCTGAAATTAACATTCTCCACCTTGGTTGAGCATTAGGACACTATGTATAGAGAAATGGCAATTATCTTGAGTCCTCGGAAAAATCCTCTCTAGATAGTCATCTGCAAACAGAATGCATGATATACTACGCATAAAACTGAGATAGTTGTAATATGTCATGTTTTCATCTAATTTAGGTTAGCTGGTGCTCCAGGCAAAACTAATTAGCTCTTCACCTGCTTGCTATCAGCACTCATCCCCACAGCATGGCCCTTTAAAATTTCTCTTCAGCACATTACTGCTGTCTGTCTGAGAATGGCACATCTTTTCTCTATGCCTGGAATTGTCACTGAATATTCTGATTAGAAAGTCCTTTTTTTAGGTAACAAAATCTGTTCTGCAAAATCTGCAAATTTACAAACCCCCTTTGTACAATTTGTGCTGACATGCTTAAAGGCTGATGTTTGTTTATGTGCTTCTGCTTGGTCTTCCAGTTCTGCGAAAAAGGGGAATGCCATTATTTTTATTTGGGATCTGACAATGGAACAGAGACAGTGTATGCTACAAGCTTCCGGCGCCTTCTCTCCCTCTCTGAGTGCCCTTGAAGTTATATAACCCAGCAATCCAAGTCACTCAGCTCTCTAACACTCTAAGCACCCAAATGTCAACTGAAGAAGCAAAAGGGTAGTAGCTGCATTTCAGCTGTGCATCTTGCTATTTTGCATATAAAGCGATGGATATCTGGATTATTAGCCTGCATTTTTATGGACTCTTAAAAGAATACTAAAGATGTGGATTAAATAATTTACAGAATGGGGTTGCCAGAGAGATAAAATGATAAAAGAGAAATAGTGCTATTGAAGCAGTTTTGCAATGAAATAAAAATGACTGGGCACAATTCTTTTAAAAGTCACTGTGTAAAACTCAAGTGTAAAGTCAAAAGATGCTCAAATTCAAATAGTAGTTAATCCATTGTCTCTTAGAGGTCCCCCTGCTTTAGAAGTTACAAAAATGTTATTCTTGGTTTTAAGATTTAGAAAGATTAAGCATTTACAATTCCCCTTAAGTATAAAAAGCTTAATGTTAATCTTCTTCATTTCCTTTTCTAAATTTTACCAAAAATGAAAGAGAAGCTGTAGAAACTGCCGAAAAGCTATATATTATTTTCAAAGTGACAAGTACAAAACAGGATGGAATGAAAAGGGAATTAAAAAAACAGGACAAAGTGGAGGCCTGACTCAGAAGCTGCACAACACTACAAGGATATTAACACCATGCAGTATTGATGAAATGCATAAGTCTTTTAACCCCCATGACAGCCTACTGCTTCTATTAAAAAAATTTACAATCTCAATAAAAAGCTTTTCTAATCATTCGCAAGGCACCGTACTTTACAGCACCGAGGTCCAATGGTGAAGCCATTTTTGTCTATAATTGAGATTCTCCACACCAACAAATCCTCTCTAGTTAGCAAAACCAAGGGCAATTTTAAATGCACTAAAACAATCTGTTTGATCCATGATCTTTATTGTGCTTTTATGA